GTGAATTCATTTTAGTTTGAATCTTTTTTTTTTTTTTTTGTTAAATACAGAGAGGAAATTTTATTTATTTATTTTTGGGGGATGAACACTTATCTGAATCTTATTCATCATATTTTTGCATAAAATATTTGATTATTATAATTAATATATATAGACAAATTACCAGTTTGTAAACATTCAGGATGCGCACGCAGCGAGGTTGCAGAAAAAAACCATGAGCGCTTTACAGCAAGGGAATGACATCCGATGCAGTACAGACTTTGTTGTCGTATTAGAGATAAGTTATATTGTTTACATATACATAATGCCTTTAGTGTATAACAGCTTGTCAGCCAGTGATAAGCACAGTTATTCTGCAAAATTAACGTTAAAGTGTGCTATGTTCGAATGACAGGCCCATTTGCGATAGCACCCTCCCAATGGATATTGGATAAGACGAAATGGCCAAGCATCCAGCCCCAAATATACAATCTCATTGAAGCTCCTATTGTTTTTACAAGAGAGAAGTTAAAAGTCTTTGGATGCCAACAGTTTTGTTCTGTGTGATCACGTGCAAGAAATAATGCTCCATGATTACCAGATTCAAAACTATGCACCATATTTAACTGTTTTTGCTGGAATCATTGCTGCAATCAGCAACGAGCAATGTGTATGATTCAGCGTAAAGTGACCATGGTATAAAATGAGAACTGCAGAGTCCAGCATTTATAATAATTAGGTCCTCACTCCATTCAGTTCTTTTTATGGCTGTTTCAGCCAAAGACGTCTGCAGTTGGCATTATAAGCAGTGTGGTGTACGATAAAATGTAATGATAAAAGTTTTCGAATTTGGCATCCTACTGCACAACACAACATGTTTGGTAATGCAGCCGGTCTTTCTTTGCAACCGGTATGCGCAGTTGAACCCGTGTGACGTCATGTGTGATGTGGGTTGTTATTTCCCCTGTGAATCCAAAGTAAATTTATGCTATTTGTTTGCTTCTTTTACACATGTTTGTTTGTTTATTAATAATATTATTGATGATTTGTTTAAATGTTTTTTTTTAACTTTTTTTTTACTTTTTATTTATTAATTGTTTAGACAGTGTGGTGGCTCAGTGGTTAGCACTGTCGCCTCACAGCTAGAGGATCGTTGGTTCGAGCCTCGGGTGGGTCAGAGCACTTCTGTGTCAAAGCATTTCTGTGTGGAGTTTGCATGTTCTTATCATGTTTGTGTGGGTGTCCTGTGGGTGCTTCAATTTCCCCAACAATACAAAGACATGCGCTATAGGTTAATTGGGTAAACTAAGAGCCTACTCACACTATGCCATCCGTACCTTGCCCAGGCCCGTTTCCCGGATCGTTTGAGAAGTGTGAGTACGCTGAATCGGGCTCAAGCACGGTTCACTTGGCCGGCCCTGGCCCGGTTGGAAGAGGTGTGCCTGAGCGCGGTACACTTGGGCTTTGGCGCGGTACGCTTGTGTGTGAGCGCAAAACGCGCCAAAGCCCGAAACCGAAAGCGAGACGTGACTTTATTGGCCATGGTGTACGAGTGTGAATGCAAAAGTGTGTAAAATATATGCTGCATAAGTTAGCTGTTCATTCCTCTGTGGCGACCCCTGATAAATTAAGGGACAAAGCCTAAAAGAAAACAAATTTGTTGTTTATTTATTTTATATTTCCTGTAGAATTAGCCTAATATTTACATTTTTTACACTATAGCCTATAACAAGGAGCATTGGGCTTTCTAAAACTGATATCTTGTTATAGTTTATAAGATATTGCAATGTACACCACAATAATGTCATAATTTAAACATTTTCTAATTAACCATAGACAGAATTTCAATTTATGAATTGAAACTTTGTGTTTTCACAATACAGGAACGGCCATAGTTTTAATAATTAATATATCCTAAATGTTGTCTCACAAATTACCTCACAGAACCTCATTAGAACTCTTTTTTTTACTTTTAAATACGTATAGTTTTCTTTTTGGGTTTATTCAGCGTGTGTGTTCTCACCTATATGATTCTCACACGTCCACATGAAATACCCGCGTGAGTGTGTCTTTGTGTTTGGGATTTGTTGCTGGGCGTGTGTGTGTTTAGGGATTATTAAGAAAAATCACTTGATTGATTCTCTGTCGACACCAAAAGAAGCCGCCAGAACCATATTTACCAAGTTAAATGCTGTTTCAGTGGATGTTTGAGTAAAGGATGAAGCGGACAATTGCGCGGTCATGTGACTACACCTCAACCAATGACACCCGCCTCCTACACTTCTCCAAAATCAGCAAACTCGACCACTAAGCGACCGTCTGCATTTACTTCGTGAAAAGACGTCTATATAATCACACCTAAGCGGTAAGTCTGTCGGTTTTTGTTGTTGTTTATTTGTCCGCAACCTAACGTGACCACGCAGCGGGCTCGCTTCCTCTAAAACAAAAGACACTCGCGCTGTTTCCGGTTTTATGATGACGTTTCTTTGCACACGGTCTGGTCGCCGTGCTAGTGGTGTGGAGTGCAGAATCGCCGCTGAACGCGCTTACTTTCGAGCGCGTGGACTCCCGGTAAGCAGTGAATGATGTTGATATATGATCAGTCCGTTACGCGTGGAAACGTGCTGTCTGAACGGGAGAAATCCGGTGATCTGGAAAGATCCAGCTAGGCCGCAAGGCGCATGCTGTTCCTGTTGTTCTGTCACATCTGTTCTGATGTATATGTTAAATGCACATTTGATAAATTCTTTGGTCTCAGATTGTACGCGAAATTGACCCCGCGATACTGTACGAAATATAATATCGCCATAATCAGTGTTGTCTGTGTGTCGCAGTGTTTGTAAACAGGTGTCAGTGATGCGCGGCGGTGTGGATGCTGGATGTCAGAAGCACCAGTGATGGACAAAATACATTAGGACACAGTTCACTTAATTAGAAATGTTATGTCATAATTCCGATCAATTTTGGGATCATACTGACTCAAAACATCCCAGTTTCTTCAAATAAACATATAAGTAACCGTATTGGTCACCTATAGGCTTTTTTGTTGTGAGAGCAACTAATGTGCAGCAAGTTTTAAATCTCTGTTTCCCCTTTGCGCTGATTTTGGACTGTTCCGCATTGACCTTCTGCACAACATATGACAAAACAAGTTGATGAGTTTGTCGTTTATGGTGGATATTTGTGTTCGCATGTATTGGCAAACTGCTTACAATATTTCATTGAACCTACATTGCACCCGGAGGAAACCCACGTTAACACAGGGAGAACATGCAAACTACACAGAAATGCCAAATGACCCAGACTCGAACCAACAACCTTCTTGCTGCGAGGCGACAGGGATAGCCACTGCGCTGCCCTGCTCTTGATCTCTGTCTATGTAAATGTAAAGGGATGCTTCGCCTAAAACGGACAATTCTGTCATTTACTCAGTTTAAGCTCTTTTCTTCTGTTGAACCAACAAGAAGGCATATTGAAAAATGTTGGAAACTAGTAACTGTTGATTTCCATTATATATATTTTATAGATGTCAATGGTTACATGCTTCTAACATTCTTCTAAATATATTATTTTGTGTTAAACAGGAAAAAAGAAACTCAAAGGTTTGGAACTATGTCAGCGTGAGTAGATAGTAAGCAAAGTAAGCTAGATAGAAAGTATACTGTCACATTCAAATAAACGTGGTTGTATACATGAGGCTGTTGTTTAGCATCTTGAATACATGCAGTTGAAGTCAGAATTATTAGCCCCCCTGTTCATTTTCTTTCCACAATTTCTGTTTAACAGAGAGCAGATTTTCTTCAACACATTTCTAAACATAATAGTTTTAATAACTCGTATCTAATAACTGATTTATTTCATCTTAGCCATGATGACAGTAAGTAATATTTACAGCTTAAAGTGACATTTAAAGGCTTAACTAGGTTAATTAGGTTAACTAGGCAGGTTAGGCTAATTAGGCAAGTTATTATATAACAGTGGTTTGTTCTGTAGACTATTGAAAAAATATATAGCTTAAAGGGGCTAATAATATTGACCTTAAAATGTTTTTTAAAATATGAAAAACTTTAGTTTCTTTTTTACTTTAATTGTATAAATTTATATTATCACTGATTATTTAGGATTTTTATTAAAGTTAACTTAAATTTTAAAGAATTTAAAAGTATTTTTTGTGTATTTATTTTACTTGTCATTGAATTTTACAATAGTTAAACCGCTACTCTAAGGCAACCCAGACTTTCAGATTTTCACCTGTATGTTATTTAATTAATTTGAATAGTCCTTTTCTTTTTTGAAATTTGTTGTAAAAGAATAAATCATCTTTTGTTTCTTTATTCACAATTAATCCATTGATAGCTATGGTATGTAGCTATAGATGTAAACACCAGTTGTGTGCGATTTAGAAGAAATAATGGGGCGCAGAGTGATGTCGTGGCTCCCGAAGTGTTTTGATTAGGCAATATCTAAACAATAAACATAGATAAAGTGTTTATTTTAACAGCACAAATCCAGCACAAACGAATTACACCTGTTTTGTGTGATTTAGAGAAAATAATGGGGCGCAGAGCGACGTCGCGGCTCCAGAAAGTGTTGTGATTAGGCAATATCTAAACAATAAAAACAGATAGTGTTTATTTTAACAGCACAAATCTGGCACAAATGAATGACACCAATTTGGCGCGATTTAGATTAAATTGGGTGGAGAGTGACGTCACGGCTCCCAAAATATTTTACTTATAACTAAACGAGGAAAACAGATACCGTGCTTGTTTTGATGGCACAAATCGAACGCAAACGACCTGTGCTGATTTGAAGTCATTTGAGCAACATGGGGTGGAAAGTGACGTCACACGGTCTGAAAAATAATGCATAATATCTCAGATCCCAAACCAGCACTAGCGTTCGTTTTTGCGGCACATATCAGTACTAACGTAGCATAAACAAATGGCATAATTTTGGGGATTATTTGTTTAAATGCCAACTTCATGGAGGTATCATATTGACAGTATTGTCATGTATACGTAACACTTTTGAAAATGACAAATGCTTAGTTTCTAGAATGTTCTTGTGAAAACACTCTTTGTTTTAAAGTTATACCATGAACTCTATACTGTATGTTTGTCTGTTTTAGGTTGCCAATATGATTGGCTGGTGGCCACGCCTCTGCCCAGTGATGTCACTGGCACTGCTGTGGGCGTGTTCAGTGGGGGCGGGTTCAGACTGCAAATCTGTGGCCATTGAGACTGACAGCCGCATAGCAGAACAAACACAGCAGCGTCACCTACAGGCTCTGTTCGACAAGTATGGCCAGAACGGCAGCATCTCCCTAGAAGGCCTCTTCAACCTACTTAAAGGGGTCGGGCTTGACCGCATCCGGAAAGTGATGGTGCATCATCCTGGAAATGCCCATAATCACACACACACGCATGATCACACACACACTCATGTGGACAAACTCACGGCGCACACACATCCGGTCACCACCAAGAAGGGAGACATGGATCACAGCGTGGAGAAGAGTGACCCTGTCCCAAAAGCACAGCCAGATCCTGCCTCTGGGAAGAAAAGCCAGTCAGATGCGCATCACAACCTGTACATGAAGATGAACCAGGAATCCACCACAGCTTTGACTACGCCGTCATATGTTACCAGATCACGGCGGACCAATCGCAGCGCCGATTATGATTTTACACAGGACCACGCCTCCTTTAGCCCCAGTCAGCCCAATGTGACACACTCAAACCACACCCATCATGATGAGGACACGCCCACACACCAGCATGATGACCATGATGAGCACGAACATGGCCGTGCTAGTTTAGGGGTACACAGTTACATTCTTTACTACTTTTTCCCCTTTATCTCGATTTAAAGTTTCTGATTTGTTCTTTTTGTTTTAATCCATGGTGCCGGCGGGGTCTTAAAAAGAATTAAAAGTTGATAAATTTAGAGAAGCTTAAAGCCCTTAAAAAGAAACTTAAATGCTATGTTACAAGGTATTACATTTTTGATTATACAACGTTTATGCTAAAGTTTGCCTGAATTTAATCTGGAAATATTGGGATGCTGAAGTTTATGAAATCCTGCTAGATTTGATATCATGCTGCTTTGTTTACTGCAGTAACCAAGGCAACTATAGCTATGTTTCCATTCATATATTTTTGCGCATTTTAGATATGCGCATAAAAAATGGTTGATGGAAATGCCAAGGGTAAAGTCTAGATAGGATACACGGCCGGCTGGTAGTGCCATATGCGCATTAATATAGCAGCTTTTTTTTATGACACTGTTTAACAATGTTTAATATTTTTACAGTACTGTGACAGCTGGGTTAGGGTAATGGGAGACAATTTACAAAATACAGTTTATTGGGTAATTTAATAGATAACATAAATAATACAGTGTACAGCCACTGTTTTAACATTACTATGACCAGGGGCGCCGCTGGCCAGTATGCTGGCCCGGTGTTGAGGTTGAAAGCAAAGAGCGGGTGGGAGTAATTGCGGTTGCGGGGGGCTGTGTAAGTTACGAATAGTATCTCTGGATGCCCCAAAACGGCATGGGAACTTAGTATTATCCCACCTTTTCCCCCCCTAGAGGCACCCCTGACTATGACGGTTGGGTTTAGGTTTGGGGTAGGGGTAGACGTTCATACTATGCAATTAATGGGAAATTTAATAGTTAATATAAATAGTTTGCGTTAACTTCCAGCCGCCACCATATATGATCTAGCAACAACCCACACCAAGATGTGCATCGATTTTGAAAATGCGCATAAAAAACATATGCGCATAATTGAGTAGGATAAACTTTTTTTGATAAGAAAAGATACGCAAAAACTACAATGGAAACACTTTTACAGAACAAATTCCAGTATGTGCATTACAAAAGTCACGTGATTTTGTTAACAAACCAGCAGGCTGGGCATTGTAAAACTGAAATGTTTTTTTTTTTCCATTTTAAAACGCCTTAACCATTTCATTATTAATGTTTATTATATTATTAATTACATGCAGAATTGTTAAGATTCTCTGTGCTCCCCATCTCGTCTTCGAACGCCGTGTCGGCATTGTCTTCTGAGGCGCAAGTCATTTTATTAAATAAGTAAAAGATTCACAAAGCTTCTCCTTCCATTTTTACATTTAATATTTGAAACCAGTTAATCAGGAAGTTATGATTTTGTTCTCTTTGACTCATTGGACTCACGTCTTTTATGCGATAATTTTTTGCACAATCAGTATTTAGTAAATATATTGTAAGTTTAAATAATTAATCTATTTTAAATTTTTAAACATCATTAACTGTATCCACTTATGCATTGACCATTTGACAGATGCTTTTATGCAAAGCAACTTTTAGAAATTGATTTAAAAATAAAATCTAACAGAAAATAGATTAGAAATTCTTACATTTGTTAAACTGATTTTTTTTCTGAACTTCTCATATTCTCTTAGATTGCGTTGGTAATAATTCTGTGATTAATTATTTATTTCTAAGAGATTTTTAACAGCGGTAAACCAAATACAGTTTTAGAGTTTTTAGAAGAAATAAATGGTAAAAAACTGTATGTAATATAACTGTAGTATACATTTTCTTGCATGAAAATAGCCATAGAAACAGGCATAGCATTAAACACAAACATTCTCAAAACTTTTCCTCTGCCCCTTTATCACTACTTTTAAAATCCCTGACATCCCTGACATCCCTCACTCATATAACTCCTCTCTTTTCACTTTCAGTGTCAAAATGCCTCCACGATCCTGCAGACGCATGGCATGAGAAAGGAAGCAAGTCTCTCAGTTAAGGACTTCAGTTTCCTCTGCCCTGCTCTTCTCATGCAGATTGATTCCAAGTCTTGCATCGTGCATGAAGACGAGGACGAGCATTCAGGTGAGCTTTTGGGCCTGTGATTTAAATACAGTTGTAGTAGTCAATTTGCAGAATCTGCATAACAACTCCCCTTTTCCTCCCTCAGATCATTCCCATCATCACAAACACCACCACCATCATCATGATCACCAACACCTGCAGCATCCACATAACCACACCAATGGAAGAGGCCAGAGGAACACTCCAGTCTACATCGGTAAGTATTGTGCTTTAGGTGTAATGATTGATTTGCATATTCATTTTATATTCAAATTGAGTTGTTATGCAAATTAGATGTTATTTATTATGAAATGCAGCCACAAATTGTCAGATGAAGAAATGCGAATAATTAATGCTCAATTAAAAGGTCGAGTTCATATATAAATTTCAGTTTACTCCCTATCTTACTTTCCCTCAAGTGGTTCCAAACCTGTCTTTTGTTATTTTGCTGAACACAAAAGAAGATATTTTGAAGAAAGCTGAAAACCCTTTGACTTTCACAGTAGGAAAATCAAGCACTATGGAAATCTTTGGTTTCAATTGTTCAGCTTTCTTTAAAATATCTTCTTTTGTGTTCAACAAAATACAAAATCGAGTTTTTGAAACAAGTAAATAATGACTTTTTTGAGTGAACGATCCCTTTAAAGTCAGTAATCAATAAATATCCTAGATTAAAATTCTAAATTATTATTGAAGATAAAATATTTTGTGAGATTAGTTCTGTGAAATTGGAAGAACTCGGATACTCCCTCTTTTATGGATTAGATTGAGCTGACGACTTCTACGGCATCATATGAACGTATGTTGGCAAGACTTCAGGACTCCACCCCTACTTTTAATCAAAAATGGGGTAGCTTTTTACAGTTTTTGGAGAGCACATAAAAGGAAAATTGAAAGGTTGTCATTTTGACTGTCTGTTGTATTATTTTATATTTGTTATAATTTTTGTTTTGCTATTATTTTTATAATTTGTTACATTATTTTCCTGAATATGGATTTTGTATTGTGAATTTCATGTTGTGTGGGGTATAAAAGTTCAAAACAAAATAAAGTTTGATGACGAAAAAGAAGAAAATAAAATATTCAAAAGAATAGAAAAAGAATGTTATAATATATGTATACAGTTGAAGTCAGAATTATTAGCCCTCTTCGATTTTTTTTTTTCTTCTTTTTTAAATATTTCCCAAATGATGTTCAACAGAGCAAAAAAAAAATTTCACAGTATGTCTGATAATATTTTTTTCTCCTGGAGAAAGTCTTATTTGTTTTATTTCGGCTAGAATAAAAGCAGCTTTTAATTTTTTAAACACCATTTTAGGGACAAAATTATTAGCCCGTTTAACCTATAGTTTTATTTCGAAGTCTACAGAACAAACCATCATTATACAATAACTTGCCTAATTCCCCTAACCTGCCTAGTTAACCTAATTTAATTAATCTAGTTAAGCCTGTAAATGTCACTTTAAGTGTCTTGAATAATATCTAGTAAAATATTATTTACAGTCATGATGGTAAAGGTAAAATAAATCCATTATTAGAAATGAGTTATTAAAACTATTATGTTTAGAAATGTGTTAAAAGAAACTGCTCTCTGTTAAACAGAAATTGGGGAAAAAATAAACAAGCGGTCTATTAATTCAAGGGGGCTTATAATTCTGACTTCAACTGTATATATAAATATTCATGAAAATAACATTATAATATACATTCATATTTGCTTTGATATTTTCTAAATGTTACATTCTTTAGTTCTCATGAAATATCCAATATATGGACTGAATGCAGAGATAATGGGGTGTGCTTGGATCAATAAGAGGGTGTGTTTGTGTTACAGCATGGCTTGGAGGGTTTCTCTCCATCACTCTGATCAGTTTGCTGGCGTTGGTTGGTGTGGTTTTGATCCCACTCATGAACAGAGTTTGCTTCAACTTCCTGCTGAGCTTCCTGGTGGCCCTTGCAGTGGGCACTCTGAGCGGAGACGCTCTCCTCCACCTCATACCACATGTAAGACACAAAAAACTTACATTAGTACTGCTCATGATCCTTCAGAAATCAGAGTAAAATGCTGATACACTGTATCCTAAATGCTAGTGCACTAACAAGAAGTGCACAGTATTTATATCTGGGATAATATCATAATCATGACTGAGTTTGTCACTCAATTTGCAAACAAAAGCATGTTAATCAATTCCTCCAGGATTTTGAAATGGCATGTTATTTTTATTTTCTTTAAACTAAAATGACTGGTCTAGTGATGGCTTTTCTCTAAGTTTATCGTAATATTTGCTTCAATTACTATAGTAAAAGAAAATTGTTCGTCTCAACCAGTTGGAAAATCATCATTCATCTGCATTTAATGTGTGATGAAGCCTATTAGTGGTGAGGCAGTGGCGCAGTAGGTAGTACTGTCGCCTCACAGCAAGAAGGTCACTGGTACGAACCTCGGCTCAGTTGGCGTTTCTGTGTGGAGTTCGCATGTTCTGCCTGCCTTCGCGTAGGTTTCCTCCGGGTGCTCCGGTTTCCTCCACAGTCCAAAGACATGCGGTTTAGGTGAATTGGGTTGGCTAAATTGTCCGTAGTGTATGAATGTGTGTGTGGATGTTTCCCAGAAATGGGAAAGGCATCTGCTGCGTAAAAACTTGCTGGATTTGTTGGCGGTTCATTCCGCTGTGGCGACCCTGGATTAATAAAAGGGACTAAGCCGTCCAGAAAATGAATGAATGAATGAAGCCTATTAGAACAGCGATTCAAGTTCTGAAAACAAAACAAAACTTTTGTTGTTTATATCAATAAGACATGAAGTAAATTTTCTACACAGGCAAGCATTCAGTTTTTGCTAATTTTCAGCTACAGTTCAACAAATGGTAAGTTTTATACAGAGTTATATTTTAGAAACTATTTTTATCCACAAACGTATTCATATGTATCCATCCAGTCACTTTCTTAATTTACCAAATAAATCCTCAGTTTTGAATGAATTGTTTGAATGAAGCGACTCAGTGAATCACTCATCAAGACAGGGACTTGCTGCCACCTACTGGCGTTTTTAGTAGTGTCATTTATGTATCCATGACAGGCTTAAACCAGCACAGTAACACACTCAACAATATGATTATAAAATAAATCCCAAAAAATATGAAATCATTTTGGTGGATATTGCATGCCCCTTGAATGCACAGTTGAATATTGCCACAGAAACCAAAGTGTCTAACAAAATTTCCTTATTTTAATGTGATTAGATGATTTTTATCTGGAGAGATTTTAAATGAAATATTGTTAAATGTGAATCCTTCACAAATACCTTAAAATCTGTTTTAGATTTTTATCTTATTTATTGCATTTGATGTCTTTTTATTGTTTTTTTATTATTATTATTATTATAGAAAAGTGATATTCAAAAACTGTTGTAAATTTAATCTTGTTTTGCCATAAAATAGTCAGAGGAGCTGATATGGCAATAAATTCAAATCTCTCTCTTTCTCTCTCTCTCTCTCTCTCTCTCTCTCTATGCACAAATGTTTTTGTGTTTTCTGCAAGATTTATGATTGCCTTTTGATTGGTCTGTGTCAGTCTCAGGGTCATCACCATCACGGCCACTCTGAAGAGCACGCTGAAGAGGAGGACTCCCTTCGCCCTGTGTGGACCGGACTCACAGCTCTAAGTGGAGTTTACATCATGTTCCTCATCGAACACTTCCTGACCCTTGGCAAAATGTACAAAGACAAAAACCAGAAGGTCAGCCAAACGTGCAAACACACAATATAAAACTAAGAGCTCATATTTCATTAAAACTCATAAAATTTCACAATATCCACTTGCAGTATGGTGTCAAGGTGATTTTGTAAATGATGATGGACATCAGCATACAAGAACTAATTCTTTTATTTAATATTGTTTATCTATTCAATATAATATCACATATAGAATCATATCTGGCATGCTTCATGACGCATCAACACAAAGACAAGCATAGTAGTAAAATAAATCTGTCACATATGTGAAGTTGGCCTAGAAGAGCAGAGTAATCTTCCTCATACAGCTTTCAGGCATAGAAAAACTAAAGAGAGATGATGGTACTGGTGCCGCAAGGGGAAATATTATGTAAAGGAGGATTTTTTTGGACAAAATACCCTGTACAAAAGCTATTGCTTTTAATACTTGAAAAAACATTATTGGCTGGAGTTTTTGCCCAATCATCAACGCATATAAATCATTGATGTATCATTAGCATTAGACTAAACTGAACTGAACTAAACTTTAACAGTGACTTTTACACTAAACTGAACTGAAACAGTTTTAATTTACAAGAACTACACCGGCATTCTACACTACTCTCCTGCCTGCCTGAATTGCTGGAATTTTCTAGCATTTAAAACATTGGCTATTCCTCTTTTTCTTTCTGCTTTCACACAATCTACATTAGAGCTGAAGATCTTTGCCCGAACCCGACAGGACTCGGCGGAACCTGATGGGTTCGGGTTTAATTTCTATCATTTTAGATGGGGTCGGGCCGGGCTTGGCTTGCCCAGTAAATTAATAGTCATGTGATGCATTTCGATTAGCACGAGAAAGTAATCAAATCGGTTGTTGCAACATTAAAATCCATCCCTGCAAAGGTAAAACACATGATGACGGAGAAGTTAAAAAGAGTGAATTTTGACTGCGGTCAGGCCAGCTGTCTGCATTCTAGCCTCCAAGGTATTTCGGCGGTCACTCATACACTGCGTATTACGGTAGAGCGCTAAACAGCAATGTATGTACAGCAAGCTGACAGGGAAGATGACGAGGTCACTCGCTACATTGAAACTGCTGTCATGGAAAATTAAATTTATGTTCTTGGCTGATGAACAAACAATCCTACCCAAAACTTGCAAAATCAGAACTTTGTATCTCGGCCTGTAGCAGCAGCAGTGAAAGGGTGTTCGGTGCTGCTGGACACACCATCCTGAGCGCTGGACTGTGCTAAAGCCATTTACAGTGGATTCAATAATGTTCCTCCACAAAAACATTTAAACCTTAAAATCAATAATGTAGACAGAGTATACAGGCTAATGTTGGCATTGGGCTATTCTTTTAATATTTAGCTTCACCGTCACCTTAAGGCCAGATTGTGAAGAGAAGTGGCGAAACAAATCCCGCAGAGCCTTTATCTTTATTTCGTTATTGGCAAATAATTTAGAATTTATTTAAATTTAATTTGTTAAGAAAGACTTCTTTTCATTGGTGTGTTGGCCAATTTAAAGGTTAACGTGTATGTACCTAGGCCTATTTAGAGTGCTGAGATGTTAAGATGTTACAGAGGACTTATTTTATTTCTTTGTTCCAACTTCCAAGTGGCCTATAGCCTACATTTGTCACGAATAAATGTTAAAACAAGCGATTCATTCGTGAAAAAAAGCAAAAGAGCTGTGTGCATGTACACATTTGAATAATGTCGGGCTATAAACGGGTTAAGGCTTTATAAAGCTGTAAATCAAAATATACCTGACGGGCTCGGACCGAATTCTGTCGGGCTTAGGCCCTATCGGGTCTAATTTTTATGGCCCGATTACACCTCTAATCTACATTGTAAACAGTGCTATAGGAATAAAGAATACTTAAATTGAGTTATCAAAACTGGCACTATATTTACAAATTCTTTTTTTTTTTTTTATGTAAATTACATATATGCAGCCTGTTATATGCCAAAATGTTGATTAGTCACTGTGGACTTATAACTTTAGCATACAAGGTATATTACATTGTTAAAGGGAATTAAAGTCGTAATGGAAATAGCAGGCAAATGGTTGACTGTTGTATCCAATAGTAATGACAGTAAATCACAATTAAGCGGGCAAATCGCTAATGCTAAAGACCTCCATCATTGCATGATCACTGGCTACATGACATCATAAAAGCAAATTCAGCCCAGCCCAAAACATCCTGAACACAAAAATAATGGAAAACTTCATTTTAATATGTCATTAATATGTCATAATACAACGTCATTGTAATATGTGTAGCGGTACATTAATAACATTTATATTGTTTAGAAAATATTCTCTGAATTGCTTTTTTTTTTTTTACTTTAAAATGTTATTTTGACGTTTGTAGGTGCAGAAGAGGGTTGATCTCACCACAGAAGTTTTGGAGTCTGAGAAACTGCCATCATTAGAAGAAAATGATGTCAAAATTGAAGGTAACTTGCGCCAGAAACATTTTTACAATCACTCCATATAAAAAAAAACATTGTGCATTTATTAAGTCAGCTTCACACGGGTGAGTGGGCTTTACAAACCACCTGTAGAAACACCCCACGACCCACGACGCCTGCCTTGCGCGTAGTCATGCCTTTACACTTCTCTGTGCTGTTTGTGTTGCTCTGCAATAACACTTCAGAAACGCTAGCTGGTAGTAGGTTATGTTATGTTATGTTCCTCTGTATTAAGTTTCTTCATGGGTGTTTTGTTTTTTCTGAACGCTACCGTAATGTAAAAGTAGCTAAAACTCGCTCATTTAGAGACAGGAACCGGCGGACGTGCAACAACTTTAATCATAAGGTTAACACAAAACAACACTCCTTCACGGGACTCGACACTAGTAAACTCTTGCTCCATCAGGCTCGCAGCTCTCAGCACCGCCCACACTCATCACAGCTACCAAATCAACCAATCGCAGAGCTTGCTCTACGCATCGTTGACATGTAGTTAAATTTTTTTGAAAGGTGCGGGCCATGTAACTGTGTGAAGGCTGCGCCGGCATACGTGTGCGCTTGACACAGAAGTATAAATCAGCCTTTACTCTTGCACATAATTCTCTGAGCACAAGCATTTCCTTTGTATGATTAGCACTGCTTGTGTGTATTGCCTCCTCTTGTTGAATTGCTGAATGCCTCCCTAATTGTAAGTCACTTTAGACAAACATCTGCTAAATGTCTAAATTTAAATGTGGTAACTTCACTTGGTTGTATGTCTTTGTTCATGCAGTCAGAATGAAACTCTTGCATGATTTGGGTGTTTCTGTGACATCAGCTGCTGAAACGAATGGTGGGCGTGCACTGGCAGAGGAGGAGGAGGTGATGTTGGGGGCGGAGCTCTACAACGACATGGACTGCGAGAACAAATGCCACTCCCACTTCCATGACACGGTTGGCCAATCGGATGAGCAGCATCATCATCATCACGACTACCACCACATACTGCATCATCACCACTCCCAGAACCACCACCCGCACACACACACGCACAGACACACACACTCCTACTCGCAGCAGCACTTTGAGCAGGCTGGTGTGGCCACACTCGCCTGGATGGTCATCATGGGAGACGGACTGCACAACTTCAGTGATGGACTTGCCATAGGTATATTTTACACACACACATGTAAAAAATGCAGGCCTCCACACAGTTCATTCATGTTTTCTCAACACAAATTTATTAAGTTGATTTTACAAATTTAAGTAGATTGAACATAAAACAAGGTGGCACAGTGGCTCAGGGGTTAGCGCTGTAGCATTACAGCAAGAAGGCTGCTGGTTTGAGTCCCGGCTAGGCCAGTTGGCATTTCTGTGTGGAGTTTGCAAGTTCTCCAAGTGTTGGCGTGGGTTTCCTCTAGCTGCTTCAGTGCTGCAAGTGAATTGAATACACTAAATTGTAGTGTATGAGTGTGAATGGTGAGAGTTTATGGATGTTTCCCAGTACTGGGTTGCAGCTGGAAGGGCATCCGCTGTGTAAAACATATGCTGGATAAGTGGGCAGTTCATTCTGCTGTGTCGACTCTTTCTTACTTAAAACTCAAGAATTGTGTTTTTGCTGTTTATTTTAAATAAACAGTTTGAACAAGCAGGAATATATATTTATATTTTGAGTGTAGATATAATGATTCAGACTGTATATTCTGTCCCCCTACTCTAAACCAAAGACTCACAGGAAACAATCTGCTATTTTATTTTCAAAATACTTCATTCTGTATTATTTAAAAGCATGTTTACCCATAAGAACTTAATTTAGGTCCGCACTGTGAAACGTCCCCACAAGTCTGCTTTCAGTTTTAAGCCCACACACTGATAGAAAACTTTTTTTTTTTTTTGTAAATGAAAGTAGCATACAGAGTGAAAGAAAGAAAACAAAATGAATCCGAGCTTGCAAACACAACTGTAAAACGGTTTGAAAAGCATACAAACTTTTTTTTTTTTATACAGTTTCACAGTTCTCATATGTACATTAGTCTACATTTGAAGTGGATAAAAGTTAAACAATTTGATTCCTAAAACCAAAACAGTACCTGTTCTTGTATTAAGACCACGTTCATTACATTTTTTGTCATTTCAAATGTAATGCAAACATGCAAATAACAAAAGAACAACCAGTAAAAGCTCTAAAAAAAACACTTTAACATTTCTCAGCTTCACTGCAATAATAGTGGTGTGTTTGAGTAAAATGTCATTTTTGTTTTATTTTAAAAAGTTTTCTTTTTGATTTAGATAAATGTTGTGTTTTAGAACTTTTTTTTTTTTTTTTTGCAAAACGTGCCATATTTTCATGTTTATATTTATTTTTGGACAACACCATAACAATATTTTAACAACAGAAAAGTTAAGAAATTAATATTTGTAGGAATAATCCTGACTTTCATTCAGAATAAAAAAAAAAAAATGGGCAGCACTTTATTTTGATGGTCCAGTTGAGTATTAGTAGACTGTCTGCTTAATATCTGTTGATACCGCTCCTTTAACACATTTAACTGACTATAAGAAACTTTGCAAGTACATGTCAACTTCCACTAACCCTAACCTCAACCTCAACAGTCTACTTATAATCTAATGAGAATTTGTTGGCATGTAGTTGCAATGCACCTTAAATTCAACAACCCGACCATCAAAATAAAGTGTGACCAAGAAAACATTATTTAGTAGTTTTTGTCTCTTGGATGAAAGATTGCTCTAAATGAAAATCTTTTTTATCATAAATACTTTTGTCAGACCATTATAGAAGGAAACAAATATACATCTTTAATGTTTTTTTCTTTATAGCTATATACACACACACACACACACACACACACACACACACACACACACACACACACACACACACACACATTTTGCATGAATTCAATTTTATGTGGCACTAAAATGTGATGTTATCTTTAATTCTTATGCGTATTATAAAATTGATGTGTGTTTTAAAAACGAATAAAAGTTTACACAAAAACAGCCTTCCTGTGCATCTGATGAGCATTTACAGATTGTTATATCGTTTTATACATATTTTAGGGGCGGCTTTCACAGAAGGTTTGTCCAGTGGTCTTAGTACCTCAGTCGCTGTGTTCTGCCATGAGCTTCCTCATGAACTCGGTAAGAAATCGTCTCTTCATTTGACAGAAATCAGGTCCATTGCATTAGTATGAAATATTATTTTCTGACTTACCTGCCTTTCCTTCTCCTCTGTAATGAAGGTGATTTTGCCGTCCTACTGAAAGCCGGTATGTCAGTTCGACAGGCCATGCTGTATAATCTGCTGTCAGCACTGATGGGATATCTGGGCATGATCATCGGGATTCTCATCGGACATTATGCTGAAAATGTTGCCACATGGATCTTTGCTCTCACAGCTGGGTTGTTCATGTACGTCGCGCTCGTGGACATGGTGAGTAGCACAGAAAGAGACATGCTGTGATTTAAGCATATAAAAAAGACAGCTAATTAGAAGCTTTAGTTAAAGGGAAAATAAGCGATTGTTATAAATCATATCGACATCATCAAACAAACACTAAATAATGAAAATCAACAATAAATCTTACAAAATGTATTGGTGTTATTTATTGTTTAAAGTCTGACAAATGGGTAAAACCCTTATGAATGATAGATATAAAGATTTAAAATGACAATGAATAGGTGTCTATGAGCTGCACTGTGATTCTTTACTAGAGGATACATTTTAATATCTAATATTAAATAACATTAAAATCTATTTTAATAATATCAAATGATTCTAATCTTTTGTTATGATTATGGAAAATTAAATGAGTTAATAAAATGAAACAGGATGCGTACATTTCAATTTACAAAATATAAATAAATGTTATATTACATTACTGTATCTATCTCAAAACCTCCTTTCAACCCTGAATCAAATATACATCTTCAAATTAAAATATGAGACAAACTATAGTATAGGAACTACAAAATGACTCAGTCATGTGCTCACTGACATTAAAAGTGTAAAAAAGGACTGATTGAAAGTGAAAGTAAAGCTATTTTATAAAATTCAAACCTTTCTATGGATCAAATTTAATGCCAAAAGTATTTTGAACTGAAATGAAAATTACTTAAAATTGCCTTTTGAATATTATGTCACGTTGGATGGTGGAGGTGTGTCGTAGACGAAGGATGACTGAGAAGAGCGGGGGGTTGTCGTGGACAAAAGTAAAGAGGGATAGGGAGTCGCAGAAAAAAGTGAACAGCGGACGGGGGAGGAGTGGGATCGGTAAAATCAGGTGCTGGATCAGATTTCCGAATCAGTCATGTTCCGGCACAAATTTAGTCCTGTCCCAGGGCACTTTATATATCGAAGTTGATATTTAGCCGCAACATATTGATGTTTCGTAACATCTACTTTTATGAAGTGGGTTGTTCACCCAACCTGGAGGACCAGGACATACACACATACTACTCACAGTGCTTAATTTGTAATTCCCAGAACAAAAGCAGGAAATAAAAGCGACCCTGCTTTATCTTCGTTTTGAAAGAATCCCCCCTTCCACCCCATCTACTTTATTTCCTCCTTTTTTTTAAGGGGGAGCTCTCGAGACCTATCTGATCTCGGATCCTTTTATATGCTTGTTGACTGGGCGGGAGCCTTGGACTCAATTATCTCCAAGTTCAGGGTTCTCTCCTGGGACAGCATGCCAAACCTGCTATAAACGCTATGCATATCTAAGTGGGAACTCTTAAAACGGCGATAGCGCAAAAACACAGCATCTCATTTCTGAATAGTCTTGATTTATTTTGTGCCATATAACGTTATAGGTCAGTCATGGATAATAACTACATGTAGCTACAAACATAAATTGTATAAACAATCACTAATCAGTTCACTTCACTATTATGTGCCAAGTGAAAAACAAATAATTAAATGAGTCAATCTAATCTTCAAGAAGAGCCCACAGTTACCTCTTCTAACATGTGTTCTGGCTGACTTGAGATGGCTTTGCTTCTGTTTCCCGCTATCCTGATCCATTCGGGCAGTTTCATCTTCTCAAGATCTCTTTTGATCATGCTCATTATCAGATTTACTCGTGGCTTCAAAAAATGAAAATATGCTTGGCTGCCTCTTTGCCATCATACAAATACTATTTAGGTTGGCCACTATGCCATCGTTTCCTTTCACTGCGCCAAACAATCACCAACCAATGAGAGTGATTGTAAACATAAGAAAGCTGATTGGCTGAAACTATTGTTGAGGGACAATATTTAAATGTGACTTTTGCTTTAACTTGCGCATGGTGACTACAGTTATGTGTATGTGCGACGCTGACCACTGAGCCATCATGCCGCCCTATAACATTGTAGCTATTTGTGTTTATCCAGCTGAATCCAAGATCTCTGAAAAAGGTCTTTTTGTGTGTGTGTGTGTGTGTTTCGCAGGTACCTGAGATGCTGCACAATGACGCGAGCGAAGCAGGTTTCAGTCACTACGGCTTCTTCCTCCTGCAGAACGCTGGGATACTCCTAGGCTTCGGCATCATGCTTATCATTGCTGTCTTTGAGGACAGGATCCAACTGGACTTAGGTTACTGACCAAAAACCTTTCCTTCACACCTAAAGACATTAACAGAAAACATCCATTATCATTGCTCTTTAACCCCTAAATCACACTTACCTGAAATCTAGCTGTTAAATGTCTCAAATCTGGTTTTGTCTGTAAAAAAAAAAGGAGAAGAAAAAGTTCACAGTATTTTAATATGCACGAATTGTCTTCTTATTTGTGGCTTGCAGGAGAGAGCAATATTTATTGTGTTGACTGTTATGATGCCAGTATAAAAGAGGAAGGAGAATGTGGAGATGATTTTTATTTGTTTGTTACACAGTGTTGTACAGTAGCTGAAGAGACATTCATTTTGCACATGTTGTCCCTCCAACATTCCAGTAAAATATTGAAGAATTGAGTGTCCATTGGTGCATTCGCCTGATTGATTTCTGTGTCCAAGCTGGATTTACATTTGATAATGAACATATCAGCAGAGTATATGATAGAGTCTAGTTTCCTATAGATGACATTTAAGACATTCATTTTGTGATTTGTGACCTAGAACCACAAAGCAGGTCATAAGTGTCAATTCATGCATCAAATAAATATTATTTTCATTGATGTTAGGTTTGTTAGGATAGGACTAATATCTGGCTGAGCAACAACTATATTTGAATATTAAATATCTGTATCTGTAATCTGATTTTTTTTATTTAAATACTGAGAAAATTGGCTTTAAAATGCAAAAAATTATTTTCTTACTTAAAAAACACTTGCAGTTGCTTGTTTTGTTGCTGCACTGCAAAAAATGCTTTTCTTACTTAGATTTTTTGTCTTGTTTCTAGTCCAACTATCTAAAAGTTCTGAAATCAAGAAGCATTTTCTAGACAAGCAAAACATATTGCCTTGTTTTAAGAAATAGGCCAAAATGAAGTGAGTTTTTCCTTAAATCAACCTGAATAATGTGCCAATGGAGGAAGCAAAATAATCTTATCACAAATCGAAAAACAAGATTAATTTGCTTACCCCATTGGCAGATTATTTTGCTCGATTTAAGAAAAAACTCACTTCATTTTGGCATATTATTTCTTAAAACAAGGCAATATGTTTTGCTTGTCTAGAAAATGCTTCTTGATTTAAGAATTTGTAGATATTTGGACTAGAAACAAGACAAAAAAATCTAAGTAAGAAAAGCATTTTTTGCAGTGTAGCAATGCAAATTACTCTTCAGAATTACATTTTGATATTTTTACAGTTGTAAATTGACTAAATATTTTCATGGAACATGATCTGACACATGCATTGTATTTTTAGCTATTGGATAAAATATACTGTATAGCCATGCAACATAATAAGGTTTTGTGGGTCACATTTGTTAATGATTATATTTAAGGCCATTATGAATAGCTATAAATGAATAGGCGTTAGTAAATGTTAGCTTTGAATGAGCCTTACATGAGAGTAAATGTAAAAAAAAACGAGCATGCATTATTACATATACTGTATAATGTTGACTTTGTTTCTATTGTTCAACATGACTAGCGTGTTCAGCACTAAATGGATTTTTTTTAATAGTGTTTTTTTAAAGTTTGTTAAACTAATATAGATTTCTTTTCAAATTAGAATGCATTAGTAAATACGGTTTAAGTATTTTTTTCTATTCATGTACAGTGCTCAGTATAAATGAGTAAACCCCATTTTAAAAAATAATATATTTAGCCATTTCTTAGTGAATATAGGTCATATATTTCGGTGCATTTGAACAAAACAGATTTATTAAACAGATACAGTTATTAAAATAATAATTTATTCACAGAACATCTTTAGAAATAGAAAGATAATACAATTAAATTCATGCAAAATATTGCAAAAAAAAAAAAGACTAACTGCAAAATTTCAACACTTTCTTTTTTTGTTTGTTTCTCTTCATTTTTGCAATATTTTTTAAATCGTATTTCAATTTCAACAAATAAATTTGAGCTACTAATATTTGGACCGTTATCTTAAGTTATTTTGTTAGATTAGCTCCAGAGTTGCCTTTAGTACTGAATAATCTAGATATATGCACAAATATAATTAACACATCCTATGGAAAATATTAATTTAATATGAAGATTTGTGAGGGGTGTACTTGCATATGCTGAGCACTGTATATATATTTTGTTATAAATTAGGAAATTACCCATAGCAACTTTAATGTATAACAGTTTGCAATATTTAATTTCAGCCCACAGCTCCCAATTAAGCTTGGATTTTGGCCCCCCTGGCACCCCTGCTTTGTTTATTTTTATTTTTATTTTTTTATTAAGCTTAGGACCAAGTTTTTTTAAAAAGAAATATGGGGAAGGGAAAACAATACATTCTATTATTTATATATATATATATATATATATATATATATATATATATATATATATATATATATATATATATATATATATATATATATATATATATATAAATAAATTATTATTTATTTATTTATTTTTTACAAAAAGTTGATAGTATCTTTGGTCCTAACACTCTTTAATGAATGAAAGAGTCCTGAAAAATACATTGTAATTTACACAAAATAATTAGCAAAACAATTCTTTCCAACACTGATAATAAGGAATGTTTCTTGATGAGCAAAACATAAGGATTTTAAATAAACACATGACAGTAAATTATAGTTCACAGTATTATTTGAAATCATTTTCATAAAAATTTAATTTTCCTTAAATCCTACTGACCCTGGTCTTTTGAATGTTATTTATTTTTTTTGAAACAGCAAAGAAAAAAAAAGTAATTTTTAGTTTGGATAAATGAGCTGCAGTATATAAAATCACTAAAATCAAGGGGATCTCTTAAGCTAAAATCAATTTTATGATGGGTTTAAACAGTTGTGTGGCAGCAGCATGTGAATATAGCCAGAATCTAATGGTATACAATAATTCTATTTTATATAATCACACTTAATAAAAAGTCTGCAGAAACGCTCTGATTGACATTCTCCCTATGTACATGTCATCAGAGCGGGAAAGCCCCACCCATTAGTGATGATCTCTCCTTCATTAGCATAAAGCAGCTTGAGAAGCATGAGAAGCAGCTGTCTGCCATTAGAGTTTTAGAGCCAAAAATAATGATTGACTAAGAGGCATTATAAATGTGGAATTTTAGGATGCACAAATGAACACTATAGTCTACATACACTTTTTTTTTTATCCGAGCCACTTCTTTTGACATTTTCAGACTTTACCAGAGATAACATCAGTGCTGTTCTAAAGGGCACCTATTTTACCCCTTTTTCAAGATTTAAGATAAGTCTTTTGTGTCTCCAGAATGTGTCTGTAAAGTTTCAGCTCAAAACACCCATCAGATTATTTATTATACCTTTTAGAATATTGGATTTTCTGCTCTGAACACACTGTAGCTGTTTTTGTGGCCTGTGCCTTTAATACTAGTTCATTTTCACATGTCTGTCAGAGTGTGCCTCAATCTCCGCCTCGGCTGCATCAGATAAACAGCACAGTGACAGACATGAACGATGCAGATCTCTTGTAACGTTCGTGAGAAATACTACAGTAAGAACTTTCACCGTGATTATTTGATGTATGTGTTGTGGAGTTAATTCAAGCCTTTCTGCAATGAATGCACACACAGTGTCATTAAAGTTCACGCACACAGACAGCTTACAAAAGATGATTTTCATCATAAGAGCCCTTTAAATCTGTCTCTATGCTGACACGCAGACATCTGTTACGCCGCCCCTTTTGAAAAAAAAAACCAATCTCATTTGAATTTAAAGCGACAGTCACCAAAAGGACTCTATTTGTATTAAAGCCTAAAAGGGGTGAAGAGTAATAAAACATTATCTGTGTGATATTTTGAGCTGAAACGTCCAGCCTGATCTCACGAGAAAACGTAAGTATTTTACGTTTTGCCAGTTTAGTGGCTAATTCGTACGATTTCAGTCGTACGAAATGATACGATTTTAAAAAGGAGGCGTGGCATCTAACCCCACCCCTAACCCCAGCCGTCATTGGGGGATAAGCAAATCGTACTAAATTGTACAAATTAGATCGTACGAATTCATACGAATTAGCCACTAAATAAAAAAGTTACGAATTGCCGTGAGATTGTGTTGGAAACGTCACATCCACATTCTAGGGACATCAGATAATTATCATATATAGCCAGTGACAAAATAAGATGTATAAAATGTATAAAAGCAGCCGTTATTTCTCGCAACAAGTTCACAGTAGTGCATCAAACCCTAGCACAAAATGCAGCGTACACTTTTTCAATGGCAATGTAATGTGTGAATACTGTAGCTTATGGACCACATCTTTAACTGAACCCTTTGGAAAAGAAAAAGTTAAACACCCATGCACTATTATAAGATGTATATAATAAACAGCAGTCAACATTTAAAGTGGATCTCACCTTTCATCAAAGCTGTCCTAAAACTATTGAACAACACTTGTGTTTTTTTTGCCTTGGACAATTTTTAAAACTTTTTTGATCCATTTCAAATGCTGACTACTTTATATAAAGATGGACTTATATAAGAACTCTTCACTATTCACAGAGTTCATTCCTCCCTGTCTGTGCAGTCCAATGTTTTTCTGGTTTTGTATTTGAATGGGATTGGATTAGCAGGTGGCAAAATGCCCAGACCAGCTCGGCTGTTGTCCATCGACGCCTCCTGCTGTCCGTCTAGCAACTGCATTTCACACATGAGCAGAGTCACACACACAAACTGCTTCAGCTCGTTCATGGCGAAGAAGCGGCCCGGGCACTGAGTGGCCCCTGAGCCAAAAGGCATACGGTAGTACCGCACTTTCTGTCCACTTTTGTAGAAATCTGTTTTCTCCTTGCCGTCCTTCACAAAACGGTCAAACTGGAAGCGCTACAGGAGAACATACACACACAAACACATAGAAAAAGGAGTTTTAAAAAATCGTTTTCTGACTGTAGAGATATGGTTAAATTGAAGTCTGCTTGGTGGAGTTTAATCAGGAAAATGTTTAGCTTTTAAATGATGCCTTCCTTTGAAATGTGTAGTATTTTTTCAATTATTTGAGAAAGTAATATTAAAATAGAAGAACTTTAAAGTAAATAAGTAAAAAAATAATTAAGAAAATATTGAGAGTGCGGTTTAACAGATGTTTTTTTCAACATTTTAAAACATAATATAGATTTAATAACTATTTTAAACAACTAATATAGTCTTTGCCATGATGGCAATACATCATATTTTACTAGTTATTTTGCTAGTATACAGTTTAAAAGTTGAATTTAAAAGACTTAATTAGGCTAACTATGTTAGGTTAATCAGGCGAGTCATTGGACAATAGTGGTTTATTCTGTAGCCCTTAAAAAATAATAATAAAGGGGGTAAAGACATTGACCATGGCAGTTAAAAGAAATCTATCTACTTA